AAAATAGATAGTTCTTACTCTCATAATCCTCCCAAAACCCACTCTAACCTCTAAATTACCGATTTAGGCTATCAATTTACCAACAAAGCATCATAGGACCTAGCCGTACATTACTCCGTATTTTTAAATACCCAAATAATTTTGACCAATTTTTTTAAATTTATAATTTCTAAATATTATTTTCTCACAACTCTTACCCTCAACTAAAAAGTAAGGACAAAATAGACAAACTAAGTTTTCCCTTGTTAATAGTCCAAAAGAAACTAAACAAAAACATTGAGAGAGAGAGAGATTAAAACATTTTTTTTCTCAAAAGTTATTTAAGAATTATTCCTTGTTAATTTTGAAAAAGCAAACAATCGATTATTTTTTACGCCATTTTGGGTGACATATTATGACCAGACCAGCCAAATTGAAACTCATACGGTATTTCCCTTGAAAAATTAACGATTTCTACCTTTAACCCCGACAAAACTCTCACTTTGTCAGTTGAGCACCAATTTTAGTTGACTTTGCGGGCAAAAAAATTAACTCCAAGGTCAATAAAATTGGAAGGTCAATTGATAGGGGTGGTGTGTGGCTTCTAGTCAAGCAGAGGTGGGTAAATTTTAGCCTATAAAAAATTTTATTCAACTTATAAGTACAAAAAATCTGTCATTCAAATTAAAACACACATTTACTTTTTATAGAATTAAAAAAAACAAATGGGTGGTTGGAATTTTAGAACGACTTGTAAAGTAAAATTTAAAAAAAAAATCAAAATGAATAGAGACTATGGAGTAACAGTTAGCTTACTTTGGCTACTTAAAGTTCAAAACACAGAACCAATTTTGATACTCCCATCCCACAAGTCACAAACCTAGCACCAAATGGAGTAATCCTCTTTACACAAACAAATATGGTTTGTGCCACAGAAACAAATTTAGTGCACCCCAAACATTATTGAATGGAGTGTAATTACATGGAATTGATATTTGGTATAATTACATGTAACTAATTACATGGAGTATTTGTTTTGAATTTATAATACAGTATCCAAACAATCATTGCATCACAGGTATCACAAGTCACCAACTTGCACGCTAGTGTATCACAGGTCACATAGACAACCATTGTCTTTGTGTAGTAATACACTAGCGTGCAAGTTAGTGTACTCCTAACACACCCCCATCAAGAATTAGCCTTAATTACATATCAATCTCGAACCTCAAGCTCTCAGTATTTGTTTTTATTTTAAACAAAAGAACACAAAATGGAAGCAATCACATTTTCAACCCGTGAGACATCAGTGACAAATATCATTAGTTACTATGACTGATACTTGAATTTGAAATATACTCCTTTATTATATAAATAAACCAAAACTTATACTTTATAACACCAGATTCAACATCACATCTGGAAGAGCACCCTATGCTCCTCCATTTTAAACCAATTTAGTCCGACAACAAAAAATACCCACTGGGTTTGACACCAAGAATTTCACAGATATACATAGATAATGACTATGTGCATCAAAGGCAAATAGTGTCAACACGTCCATGAAAAACTTCCGAAATTAAAACTCTTGGTATCAAATTTAGTGTGACCCGAGCAAGACACATCTTACAAATGGAAGTTTGGGTCATATAATAAGTAGTGGTTGTTTCTAATAGACCTCAGCAAAAGGAAACAACACACATATTACCCCATTCCCACATGAGGGTTTGCTCTTCCATTCTCATTGCATTAAATTGGAGACTCAATTCAGCATGTATATCACTCTTGTCCAATATCTTAACACAAGTATGATAAAGCACCAAAACCAAGAACATAATTATTCAACACTCAAAGATAATGCAATTATAACTGTATAACCAATCCATGGAGCAAGCGTATTAGACCAAAAAAGGTATAAAAACAGCAATCAATACCATGAAAACCTGTAAAGCAAGTAGCTGAAACTTATGATGAACAAGAAAGATTGGAGAGCAAACTCAAAAAATATGTTTAGAATGATAGGAATGGAATAGCAAGGTAAAGTTAGGCTTCTAGGGTGCAGTCTCTAGCAAAATGACCTGGATCACCGCAGTTGAAGCATTCATTCGATGTGCCACCCCTGAACCTCCCACCATTGTCACCTCCAGCCGAAGGGCAGTCCCGGGCAAAGTGGCCCGGTACCCCACAGGTGAAGCACTTTCCACCACCACTGCCACCACCTCCACCACTTGCACAATCTCTTGCAATGTGCCCAGGCACACCACACTTGAAGCAACCACCACCAGCACCACCACCTCTGCTGCCCCCTCTGTTCAGGTCGCAATCTTTGGCTAAATGCCCAATCTTTCTACAGTTATAGCATTCTACTCCCCCTCCTCCTCGATACCCATTCAAGCTCTTAGTATTATAGTCAAAGCCTCCATCTTGGTTATTCAGGTCACACTCCCTAGCTAAATGACCAATCTGCCCACATGTAAAGCACTCAGCCCCACCACCATATCCATTCCAATTCCTCCGGACAGAGCCATCACCACCACCACTCTGCTCGCAATCCCTAGCTAAATGACCAATCTGCCGACATTTAAAGCACTCTGCCCCGCCACCATATCCATTCCCGTTCCTCCTGATAGAACCATCACCACCACCACTCTGCTCGCAATCCCTAGCCAAATGTCCAGTCTGGTTACAATTAAAACAACGCCCACCGCCGGAACCTCCATACCCACTTCCATTCCTCCTAAGATCGGCACCACTTCCATAATCATTCCCGCTCCGCCTATTCTCACCACCGCCGTATCCAAGGCCCTTCCCTCTGGATCGCGGTTCCTCAAGCAGGGCGCCGTTAGGTCCAGTAACTTCGATCGCCTGAAACCTATCCCCCTTCTTGACTACCTCAAATTCAACCGTCTGATCTTTGTACAGGGTCCGGTAGCCCTCTGCCTTGATCGCCGTCTGATGAACGAACAGCGAATCGCCGTTCCCGTCCGGCTTGATGAATCCGTAACCCTTCTGATCGGAGAAGGTCTCCACCGTCCCTCTCATCCTCGTCGCTTCAACCGCCATCGAGATCAACCAACCACTGCCCCCTCAACACCCTAATTGAGATATGAATCTCTCTCACTCTCTCTTTTTGCGTGCGTAGATCATAGGTACATGTGTGGAATTATATATACTTCTATATAACAGCCTAACAGAAACCCTAATGGGCAAAAACAGCCTTTTTTTTTTGCCCTTTGCATTCTTTGAAAATAATCCGTAATTAAATACCCAAATCAGCCGGTTTAACTTTTTATTGAGCAATTAACTTTTATTTAAACAACAGTTTAACTTTTTCTAGTGGAATAAGAATTATCATTAGTTAGAAATCAGATGAGAAAACAATGTTTGATGGAATGGACTCCCAAAACCTAAAAGAAAAGTAAAACATCTCACCAAAGTATGAACCAATTTATTTAGATCGTCTTACATGATACTCTCTCCGTCTCATTTTATAACGCCTATTTCGATTTACGATGTTTGACTGAAATTATTTTCAAATCATTTTATATGATAAATGGCATATAGTTAAAAAATAAAAATTACATATTAAAATACTACATCAAAAGATCTATGAAACTAGTAGTGACAATAATATTTTATTTTATCAAATTACTAACGAAAATTGAGAAAGAAAATGAATGAAATTTGACTCTGTGAATAGTGAACATGCATTATAATTTGGGACGGGGAAGTATTTCCGTCAATTATAAAATGTTAACTATGACTTCAAACAAAAGGGCTAAAAAAATATGGATAAAAGAATCTTTTATATTTACATTTGAAGCTCCTACTAAGAATTTGGCATATAAAAAAATCATTATGACACTAACAAAAAAGTTAAACAATACATGGATAAAAAATCAATTCGTAAAAAATAAAAAACTTATTTTCCAAAAATAAAAAAATTATAGTCACATTTTATATTTTTCACAAAAACTTATTAAACTAAAAATTAAAAAATACATTTATTTTATAGATGATTTTTATTGGAATTTTCAAATGGCTTTACTTTCAAAAAAGTACGGAGTATTAAAAATATTATAGTTACATTTTTTACATAAAATTTTTAAAAATTGTCAAATAAATTTTACACCCGAGATTTATTGCACTTGATATGAATTTATTTTTAAAAATAAAAAATAAATATAGTTACATGGGTTTTCACAGAGAAAATTTCCAAAAAAATAAAAATAATCATAAGTATTTTGATTTTGACTTTTTTGAAATTACAAAAACTATTTTTTTAAAAGCGCAAAACAAATTATATTCGCATGGCATATATATAACAAAATAGTATTTTTTAAAAAAATCACATATTTCTCATACACAAATTTACTGAAATTCTATCGAGACCTGAAGTGGAGGATTGGAGCCGAGATCATCCCCATTCAAAATTCACCCACGTAAACCTGAGAGACTAAGGGATAGATCGAGACAAAACATTGGAGTGCCTTAGAATGGACAATTGAGATAAAATTACAACTATTTGGAGGGCTAAGTTCAAAAAAAATTAGAATGGGTCATTTTGAATTTTTAGTCTATGTTTAGATGATGAAAAATACTAAAATACATTCCATATCATACGACATAGATAATTAGTGCTTAATTAAAATTGATTTGGGAAAGTAACTTATTAAAAATGACCATTTTAGATTACTCAAATAAATTTATAAAATATATATGTGACTAAAACATAAAAGTTCTTTAACATTATATTTAAAACTATATTTTTTAAAAGAAAGATATCTGTCATGATTATGTACCAACTTTTTAGACAAATTGAATAATACGTATTCTATGAGGTAGATTCAATGCTACTCTTAAATTAAATTACTTGGCACTTTTGTTTATGGTAAGACTAATTATGATATGAAATAAAAGTATTCCCTTCACATTTAAATTTAACTAAATTCTGATCGTATGACTTATGTTCATAATTTTGTAATCTTTTCTCTTCTTTTTTAAGAAAACTTTCAAATAAAAGAAATCTCTTTGGATAAGAGTAAAAGAAGAATGAAAATAGCAAAATACGAGTCCTAAGTCTTTTAAAACTAAAATTAAGAATATTATATCAGTGTAATGTAAGACTACAAATTAATAGTGTAATAAAAAAGTGATGACAATGCAATATGACAGTGTGATCGGTTAATCTTCGGCAATCAGTGGTAGTAATTTGACAATGTAAACTATTCCCAAACAATAATTTTTTCTGATTTTCAGGAAGTACAAAGACAAAATGAAATCACAACAAGACATTTCAAAGTTCAGGGCAGGAGGAGCAAGTATTACAAACGAATTGGACAAACTTTAATCACAATTTAGATAAATATCAACATTTTTTTAACAATATTACATTGTACTACGTATATTAATAAAACAAAACAACTTTTTTTTGAATATATTTTTAAAAATAAATCTAAATAAATTATTTTTGGACTTATATGTATTTCAATTCTTTTTTAATTATTTCAAATTTTAAAAGTATACATACTAATTTGCTTTTTTTTAAAAAAAAAAAACTGAAAACTCAAAGGAAATAAATAAAAGGGAAATAAATTTACCTTTCTCGCATAGAGGATCATGGCTTATTTGGTACTTATCTAGAACCAAAACTTCTGCAGGTCTAGTAGGTGGCTCATCATTCTTCATCTGCTTACCTCTTGCATTCCATAAATCAAATATAATCAATGCCCAAGGAAGAAGAAGACATATGAATGAACAAATTCTTTAAATAAAGGGTTGATGGAAGTTATTGGGGGCACATTGTCCTGACGTCTGATCTTTGTGGAATGAATGGTGTCATTGTGTCGACATATTTGTAACATTACACATAATTACCATTATTCTTTCTCTCTTCGTTTTAATTACGGCGTACTTTGATTTCCATCTTCGAAAATTTCCTTTACGCTTTGATTCAGCACGCATGTTATATGGAGATTGGGTGTTGAAGGAGTCATGCAGAATAGTGTAAGGGTCCATTTTGTACACGGAATTAACAGAATTGAAATTGAATTAAGAGTTAAAATTTTATGAAATTGATTTGGATTGAATTAATTTCTCCCATTCCAAATTTATTTTTGGCACAAGCAATTCCAAATCCACATATTTTTGCGCTACCAAACTAAATTGAAATTACTGTCTCCAATTCTAATTTCATAGTGTAAATTTCGTGTGCCAGATAGAGCCGGTGAAGATATGATAAGGTGGAAGTTAATAAAATGAATAGTGAAGATTTCGTATGTAAATTATTATAAACATTGAAGGGCAAATTTGGTATTTATACAACTTTTTTTACCATTAAAAAATATGAAAGGACAAAACGAAAGTGAGAGCAAAATTATTTGATGGATTAGGCAAAAATACTTCATCATCCAATAATTTTTATTAAAAAAACACATTTTTTTTTGTTTTTGGTTTTTTTGGTACAATTTTGTTTTTGGTTTAAATCGACGTAGTACTTTTATAAAAAGAAGAAGAAGATCGACGTAGTACTTAATCGGAGTGCATTTCCAAGTAATTCTCATCAATTTATAAAATTATAAAACATGCTCTTAGACATGATTTCTAAGACAGTTTTTCATTAATGATAAACCAAATGCTCTATTAACATTATGAAACATGTTCTTGGCAAAATATGTAAGACATAGCTATTAGCCTCCCAATTACCCTTGTTTGCCCCCAAGCAATACAACACTACCCTACTACCCTTGATCTTGTAGTGAGGCTGGGTACCAACCATGTCATTTTGATATTCTACAAAGGCCCTTGAGAAATCTCCTTGAACCTATCTCTATGTCACATGCACATTAAAGAAATACATCATGTAAAAATCTTCTTTTTTTTTAACCAAGCACAGAAATGTCATTCCACATCAACAATCATCCAACAATCATACACAGACCAAAGCCAATGAAACAACCAAAACCTACCACAAATTAAACAATTCTAACTCTTCCCTGTCTTTTACTGAAATAGCCTTGAGTTTCATACTAGCCCAAGAGCTTAACTTGTCCTAAACAGCAGTCCCATAAGGGCAGCTGCACAGTAAAATGGCCTGCATCCTCATTATCAGATTCACACAAGGTACACTTACACTATGCTTGACACAAGGATTTTAGAAGGAAAAGAAAAGAAAATGATTTTCTCTCATTTTCCTCACCAAAATGGAAGGAATTTGATTTTCCCTCCACTTGGTATATTTTGCCTCCTCATTTTCTTTTCCTTCCACTTTTCCTTTTTTTCCCCCTTTAACCAAACAAGAAAAATAGTTTTCCAATTCATTTTCTTTTCTTTTCCCTTTCAAATTCTTTGAACCAAACATAGTGTTAGGATCCATGAATCAACTCGTCCTGGCTTTAGTCTGTAATCTACCTCTGAAAATCAGCCAAAGATTAAATTGGTGTTTTGGAATGGACCATTTATTTCGAACTAATTAGAAGCTCCCCAAAAAGAGTTCCTACAAAGGCCCAAGGGTTGATTTTTATAGTTAATTTCTCCACCAATTTTTCACATTCTCTCTCACTTATTCTGGAGGCAGATATAGGCCCTCCTAAATATATGAAAGGGAACTCACCTTTGCACATTCCAGCCATCTCCATGATTCTACCTTCTTCTTGCTGATCAGAAATACCATCCACTATTATCTGTGATTTGCCATGATTGATTTGTAAACCCCTAACAGAATGGTTTTGAGCCAGAGCTGAATACAATTGACAGAGCCTTCTGAAAAAAAATCCAATACAGCTTTAGTAACAAACTGCCCTACTGTACTCCACTGATCCTTTTAGAAACCACTGGTGAACCCATCTGGACCAGGGCTCTTATGGTTAGGTTTAAGTTCTTCTGGAGAGATGGGTTCTATAAGCATAAGTTGCTGCCTGACATCAAGGATTTGACCCATAACAATAACCTCATCATTGATATTATCTGTACACGCTGTTTTCCCCAACAGTTCCTGAAAAAATTTTAAGAGAGTAAAGAAGTGTTGAAAAATAAAAAAAAAAAAGTATGTGGTTAAAATTTAATTGAAACAGAGGAAATTTTCGAGTCACGTACTCAATTGGAAAATAACGAGCTTTACCTATGTGTGCTCCCAATACACTAGAATTTTCTTTCTAGTTGACCAGCACACATTAATGAGAGATGAAAAATCATTCACACTTCACATTTACTCTTGAAAAAACAATGTTAAATAAAGTATATACTATTGACATTTCACATTTACTCTTGCAATAATAATGTTAAATGGAATGAATAGTACTGACATAATGTAATAATATGAAAACTAAGCATTAAGAGTGGAAGGCTAATTTTATATTTTAGAAAATCTTTTCCATAAAAGGTAAGGGAATTTTTTTCTGGACAGAATGAGTTTTGTTCATGGTGTAGTATTCGTATTTCATGTAGAATTATGCTTCTTTTGGAGTGCTCCTTTTATTGTGAAATTTCTTATACTCCTATGAATTCTTGTTTTGCTTTGTTGAGCAACGATGGATACATAAAATTTCCTCCAATAACTGTACCTATAAAACAGATCAAAAAGCCAAAATGTTGAACCCAAACAATATCTCTTATGTAGATAGATTAAAACCGCATAACATAGTACAAGAGTCAAAGTCGTTCATCGCACACCAACAATATCTGTGGCCGCTTAAGATTCACAATAAGGGTCTGTTTGGTATACAGAATTGATGGAATTGGAATTGAATTGGAATTGAAATTCCATGGGATTCAATTCCATAGAATTGAATTTTGCCAAAATTTTATTCTTTTTTTGCATTGTCAATTCCAAATCCACATAATTTTTGTGTTACCAAACACCAGAATTGGAATTCAAGTCCTCAATTCCAATTCCATAGTTTGAATTCCGTGTACCAAACGGGGCCTAAGAGATGCAAATTTACAAATTCGAGGCAAAGGCATGCAATGCATTACCTAATGTCCAAGATATGATTCAACATATATGCAACAGTCAAAGTGAAAAAAATTACAGTAGAAAGTTTAGTTGATAAATTAAAAAAATGTTTCCAACGAAGAATTAGTAAGGTAAACAAAATAGCAATAAACATAGTGAGAGCATAGACCCATTAATTTGACATACTGACACTAACCTTCTCTCTAAATTTCCAGAAAGCAATGCCGGACACACACAAGATCTTGTTCATGCGATTCAAAGAGGTTCATACACTGGTGAAATAACAGCCAACAATGTGTCCGGTTCAATATTGCAATCATGGATCTATAATCTATTTTAAGTATCTAAAGTGTTAAAAAGGAGGTGAGTCTAAATTGTTTGTATAACCAAAAACTGAAGGAGATGCATGAGAACAAACAACAAATGCAATTAAATATGAAAATGCTTCCTCTAGTATCGTAGAAGTTGATATATAAATGCTGAAAGCATAGATATATAGTAAACCAAAACTATTGGAGGACTAGGTTCACAACATAAATGATCCCATTATATGTAAAACCAATGCTAGAAACAAACAATGAGCCCATCTCAAGATTCTAAAGTAATGATGATGCTGGACAGAAATTGACACTTCATGAATCAAAGCCAAGAAATCCATGGCAAAAAGAACAAGGGTAAGAGATAAACTTGAAATGTTCGAAAATCATATCTTCCTTGGTCCCGCCCGTAACTCCAAAGTGTACTTTACAAATGCAAGTTTTGATTTCTCGAGTACATTTGTTCCTGACATCCATAGTTATCCAATACATATAGCCATGAATGTTGTAATTGGCCCTCCCCATGCTCCCCAATTCCAGTTTCTCCTAAATACTGTTAATATGAATATGCAACTGAAACTAAACGAAGGAAAAGGAGTCATGGACACGAACAAACCTTTTGATCCCAGAGCAACCTCGATTATGGGAGAAAAGAATCTTGATCATCCTCGTCCCTGAAATTGATGGGTATAGGCACAACCCAAATGTGAAATGTTGGAAAAAAGTCGAGACAATAACTGTTAGAAATATGAATCTAATGTAATCCTCAAAGTACTCATCGTCCTGCTCATTTTCAATGAATAAGACATTGTTATAGCCGCGCTGTCACAACTAAGGCTCTGCTTCTTCGCTTCGGGTTCTCCATCATCCATGGTGGGTGAAGGAGAGGTAAACCCACACTTGCCATGCGCCCGTGGTCATCACACCTAGAATCAACTGGTTGACTCATCACGGTTCGTGCATGGGCTACAAGCCTCTATAGTCATCCACCTTCATGGGCCTATTAAAGGACACTGTTGTATTCACCTTGCCACCTAGAGCCACAAAGAGACTTACAAGTACAATGCTGCAACACAACACAGATTGAACATTGAGCGTATGAGGAAAGGTCGTACATCTATGAGATAAGTGAGAACACTCCATTAGCAACACGACAATGATGCACAATGCCTTCGGACCGTTGCCTCAATGATTGTAGTCTTAATATCAATACACCTCCTTATACCTATAAACAATCAGGTTTCAACTACTCCCTCCATCCACTTAAGATCTTTTTGTTTAATGTTTTTGTGGTATTTTAAATATTAAAAAGGCAATGAGAAAATCTATGGGGGACAAATAAAAAGGGCTAATGAGGAGATCTATGGGGGACAGAGAGAGTATAATATTCTCATTTTTCTCTACTCTACTTAATCTAAACACTCATATCTAGAGGTGAATCTTGAGATGGGCTCCTTGTTTGTTTCTAAAAACTCATATTTAAAATATGATTTTAGCCACTTCCACACAGTCTTTGTGTTAGCTAGCAAACACGTGGCTACATTAGTAAGACTCACTAAGAATGCACACATAATTTGGATTATTTGTAAAATCACAAAATCATTAACTTATATTAGTATTAAATATTGTTCCTTATCAGCATATGAGTCTGGATAAAGATTTATGTGTTAAATGGAAGAGACAACGAGAATTAGGCATCTCGGTTCGCACGCAAATTACAAGTAAACTTTGAATCACAACTTTGTCAAAGTATGTAGAAAATTAAAGGAGGTAATATAAAATTAATCATATATTATACTTATTTTTTTACAAACATATGTTGGGCTATATTTGTATCCGCAACAATGGAGACAACACGCAATATTAGAGTAACGAATCTCCATCAATTCATCCAAGTTTCAACTCAAGATTTAGCTAACTACGCATCTCATAATGCAGACCATTATGTCAGTTCCTTGTCTAGGATGTATTTACATACTAAAAAAATGAGGGTACTTCCTAACACTGAGTGTCCATTCCTCAGAAAGTGTGAGAAGTCAACCGAAAGCATAATCATGTACTCCGTAATTAATTGGTCAACTGGAATGTGTGATGAAAGTATTGTGCATATTGTTTTTACCTTATACATTTCATATAAATCTAATTGTTTACTTTAATTTACTTCACTAATGTTTAATCCATTTAATTAAGGAGAAAACTGTTATATATTTTCCTGACTATATTGAAATAAGAAAAGCCAATGAGTAGAACTACTAAAAATAATTCGCAAGCTACCTGCTGTGGCTGAAATTGAATTAACCATAGAGTTAAAAATATTACCAATAATAATTAAATATAATTATTAGTCATGTGAAGAAGGGAATATGGTATTTTTGTAAAAGTGTTCAAAAGAAGAGTTTTGACAACGATTGAAAATTATACCATTTGTTATTTAAGCTAGTTTTGTATTTTTTTACTTTTGAACTTTAAGACGAGATATACAAGGGTGCTTCTTTCATTGAGAAGAAGAAGAAAGGAGACCCATCTACTTCTTCGCATACTCTGTTTTGATTGTAGATTTTGATACCAATCCTGATGACACCAATTATTTGTGGATCAAAATTTCTTAAGGAAAAGAATGGGCAAAAGTTAGATATGTGAAAGTAATTAGAAAGTCTAGCACAAACCTACCTCCGCCTTTTTTATATCAAAAAAAAGAAGAGCCATAGTCTATGATAGACTTTCTTAATACTTTACCATATGTATCTTATGTCTTTCTTTTTCTCGAGAATTTTAAATCCACCAATTATTGGAGCGATCAAGATCAATAACAAAACCTACAATCAAAATAGGGAAATGTGAAGGCAGAGATTGGTCTCTTCTTCTCATCGAGAGAAGCGCCCTTGTATATCTCAGTCTAAAGTTCAAACGAGACAAATATAGAAATAGCTTTAACAATACACTATATAAATTACAATCATTACAACAAAAAAATAAACACTTTTGTAAAAGTACCAAATTAGTTATAACCTTTTTCATATGTGTAGCAATTACATTTAATTAACCATATGTAATATTTTTAACTCTGTGACTAAACCAATCTCAGTCACAACAAGTTGCTTGCGAACTATATTTAATAGTTCTATTTTATTACTTTAGTCTGTGGCTTTTCTATTTGATTGTAGTCAAGAACATAAACAACACTTTTTTAAATGGACAAAACATTAATGAAATAAATTAAGGTAAGCAATTAGTCTTATATGAAGTGTATAATGTGGAAAAACTTGCACAGTACTTCTAACATGCATTCCACATGATCATACTCTAATAAATTACAAAGTACTTAATTATGTTTCCTTGGCTTTGACATCTCACATTTTCCAATGAAAGAAAACTCACTTTCATGAAGCGCCCTCATTCTCTTAGCATGTAAATACATCTTAGACAAGGAAACGACAGATAGGTTTGGATTATAGTGCGCGAAGTTACCTAAATCCTAAGCAGAAACTTAAATGAATTGATTGAGATCCACTACTCCAATATTGCGTACAGCCTCCATTAATGCGGATATAGATATAGCACAACATATATCTATAAATAATAGAGTATAATACATAGATATTACTTCTATGTATTTCTTTTTACAAAGTATGTGACTCAAGTGTACTTGTAATATGAGTAAGAACCAGGCTAACTAATTCTCGTCATCCCTTCCAATCAACAAACATATCTTCATCCAGATACATATCCTAATAAAGAATAAAATCTAAAACCAATATAAATTAATGATTCTGCGCTTTTAGAAACAATCCGAGTTGTGTGTGCATCCCTAGTGAGTCTAGCTAGCGCAACTAGCACAAAGACTATGTTAAAGCACTCTAACACTTAGGCATCCGTGAAGAAAGAACCCTACACGAGATAACTTGTGCTTGGGAGGACACAATAAATAATTGATTAGGAGACCCATTTTTTAGCAAAGAATGCCACAAAATAACATCAGACAGTGGCTATGTATATAAAAACAATGAAAATCATACGAATTTGAGAGTGAGCAATGTTGGATTTGGTAAACATGTTTTGAAAGTGTGAGTAGTGTTGTGAGTATTCAACAAAGTAAAGCCAAGCACAAGTTATCTCGTGTAGGATTCTTTCTTCACCACACACACACTGCATGCATGCATGCACGCACACACACGCACACACACACACATAGTGAGGAGCGAAGCTAAGAAGAATAGCACAACACATTAAGGCTAATTGCTTGGTGAAGTTTCGGTGCACATCAATAATGGGATCTGAAACTATCGTAAATACATAGATTATGGTGTTCGTGCTAGACTTTCGTATTATTTTTCCAAAACCATCATTCGCCCAATCTTTTCCCCACGAATTTTTAATCCACCAGTAGTTTGTTCCATCATGATAGCTGTCAATCCCAACTATTAGTATTGCTTGAAAAATTTTAGACATTATTGATTTCATTACTTTATTAGTTGGTCTCTTATATATTTGATCTTGAAAATAAACAAAATAATAAATTTACAGAGTTATTTTAAACTACATTAAATATAATTTATTTGTAAAATTAATTTTCTAAAAAAATACTTTCACAAATATTTCAAATTAGTTATACTCTTTATCAAATGTCTAACAATCACATCATCATCCATTACCTTGTATAATTCATGAAGCTCTCAGTTTTCTTCAATCTAAGTACATGAAAACTATATCCAACAATAAACTTTGTTAACATTCATTATTACATTCAATATATATAACATATTTCTCAAATTAAATTAATTAGAGATAAAGCATCAATGCAATAAATTAAAACAAAGTCTAATATAAAATGTATAATGCGGTAAAACACATACAAAATACTTCTTACATGCTCACTTCACGTGATGTCATAAATACTTTAATTAATTATGGAATAGCTAATAAAGCTTCCTAGCTTTATGTGTCTGACATTTCCCGAGGAATAGGCATTCTCTCACATGAAGAACCTTGCTCTTTGCGTGTTCATACGGCCTAATAATGCTTGCGATGAAATCTTCTTTGTTATAAAGAGATGATTTAGCTATGTCTTAAGTTGAGACTTTAACAAACTGGACAGAATGAGTTCACTTTTCCAATATTGTGTGCAGCCTATATCGATACAAATAGAGATACAACGTAACATGCATTATATTATTTTGTCTTCTAACTCTATGTATGTCTACAAGGTACAAGTATAGTTGTTATTTACTTACAAACTACACTAATCAATTCAGATCCTCTTCTCTTATGTCAAAACATGTATCTTTATATATATATATACACACACACATACGTAAATATATATATACATATATATGTGTGTGTGTGTGTGTAGAATAACAACCAAAACATATAATCCAAACAACCACAAAGGAGAAACAAACTAACTAAATTATGTTTATAAATTATGGAATTGACATCTGTGAAGCTTTTGCACAAACCTAAGAATAGCATGTTAGCTAAATTGATTTGATCAATCTTGTTTCTCTTTCACACCAACAAAATGAAGAATTAAAAAATTTTGATACCACAATGGTAAACCTTTTGGCTCAGTTATATATGTCTGGATCAAAAAGTGTGTGAAGTTATTGCACAAACAAACCCAAAATAGCAGCACATTAGCACACTTGTTTTTGCTCAATCTTGTTATTCTTTCACCAGAGCATAAACAACAATGAATTATAAGGCATTGAATAATGCAAGGGAATAATAAACATTAAATAAGGAATAGAGAACCTCGTACTTGAAACCGCGATCAAGAATTCAACTTACCTATCCACAAACGATGTTTGGTGTTCAAGATGGGTGGCTTGTGAGTGTGTGTAGGCGCTGAAAGGGGAAGTCTAAACACATGATATCCGGAAAGAGAACTCTGGAGCTGCCGGTCTCAGAGTTTGCCTCACCTTGGCAACATGACAACTATGAGTTGAACAGATGTGATGTCTCTTACTAATCTCTTGTGGATTGCTTCCATTTATCAATTTGAAGTACCTAAAATTTAAAAATGGCAGTGAGTTTAAATTGTAGATAGAACAACAAATAAATGTTGGAGCTTCAAGATGACAGATGAAATTTAGGATGAAGATGTCTCCTCTACTTTCGGTGAAGTTAATACTAAGTATATTAATGCTGAAAGCAATAGATATAAGAAACCAAAACTAACGTGGGATGTATACATAAATGATCTCATTAGATGTAATAACAATTTCTGAAAGAAACAAGAAACTCAACTAAACCAATATTCCTGGATACATATGTACACATATTCAAAGACAAGAAATCCATGTAAAAAAATAATGGTTACCTCACATTTATTTAAGGTTTGAAGGGATAAACTTGAATTGTTCTACAATAATATCATCCTCAGACCCGCTTGTAACTCCAACGACCTTCTTCTCAGCCAATTCAATTTTTCAGATCGCAAAAGAGAGCGCAGGAGAGAGAACCCTAGAGAATTTGGGCGGAACCGAAGAGGTTTGGGCGGAATTTGTTCTGTCCGCATGCGTTTGACGCATCAAAATATGGGCCGAGCGGTTTAGACTTTTGAGGAGAACCGAAAGTTTGAAGCGGTATTTGATGAGGATTGAGGAGAAGTGGAGAACGCGCATAGAGGGATGAATGAATATATATGAGGCTGAGCTGGTTCTAGGGTTTTCGGGTTGGGCTCGGGGGAACACATTCAATGGCCAATTGGCTACCTAAAGAAGAAGAAAAATGCTAAGGGTACACATTTGGTGTACCCCATTTGTCCTTCACCCCCTCTTTGTCCAAGTAGAAAATTCAAAAAAAAAATAAATAAATAAAAATAAAATAAATATGGGTGGTAAATAAGGGGGTGGTGTACATTTGAGGTACACCTTTGGTGTACCCCTAGCATTGCTCAAAGAAGGAAAAATGCTACATATACGAATATACCACATATTTGTATCCCACTTTGTCATTAAATATAGGTGCAAAACTAGTATTATATCAGTGTTATACCTACATTTAATGTCAGGGTAATGTTTTAGGGTATAAAGTGAAGTACAAGTATGGAGTACATGTAGCATGCTCCCACAAAGAATGCGAGTAGGATAGATATGTGCTTACCCCACCTTTGTCATAAATCTATGATTAAAATCTAATTTAATTCTTTTTAGTAATCATTCAACCGGGTTGAAGAGGACTCTCGAGAATGGGCTATTCCATTTTTTGTCACAAATCTGTGATTAAAATCTAATTTAACTCCTCTTCTCAGTAATCGTTCAACCGGATCTGAGAGATCCCTCGAGAATGGCTATTCCGTGTAAATGAAAGCCTAATCAATCTCTATCATTGTCCCCAATTCCCTATTTGGTCTAACGGTGGTGCATTTCATAATTAATTGAATAGGCTAGTATGTATTATTTAAGGTTGCATTTGGTTTGCTTAATTTAGTGTGATCACATTTTTTGAAGATCTGATCTGGTCTAATCTGATTAGATATGGTCTAATCTGATCTGATCTGGTCTAATCTGATTATAATTATAATTAAAATTGTTTCTAATCTGATTATAATAAGAATAAGTAATAAGCAGAAAAAATAAGTTGAACGAAACGCTGTCTAGCCACGGTTCATGATTCACGAGGATTACGTATTGTCAATAAAAGGCATACAAACCTAAATGATCATTATTACAGACAAAAGAGAATGAGTCTACATCTAAAAAATCAATTACTTTTTTCCCATTATACAATGTTAAATTATTATGGAGTAATGAGTATAAAATGCAAAGTATTAAAAATAATAATTATTAAAATAATAGTAAACTTAATAAGAATAACAATAATGAAAGAATGTTACTACATGAAAAGAAAGAAAACTCAAGACGTAGTACTCCGTATATGATAAAATAAATATTTGGATACTTTGACTTAAACTCAAATGGTTCGGTTCATGATAATTGATTTTATGTTTTTGTATCCATGTCATATCCCATCTGAAATCGGTTTGAATTCTTTTCTTGATGACAAATCAATTCTTTTTTAAAAACACGATAAATAGTTCGAATGGTATCATATTAGTTTCATTTTTTTGTCAACCCCTAACTAATCCTATTAAGTGTTTTCTTCGCTTGCATGGGTAGCTTAGTTGGTCTCAGAGAAAAATGTCAAGCCTAATGTTTTAGGGTCAATCCCAACAAAGGTAATGTGTGAGTCTTACTCTTTGTAATAATTTCTTGTTTGCACCGGACACGGGCAACTGTCGTATGAATCAAACTAAAATTATATTACGAGTATGAATTATCCTCCTCCTTACCCGCACGGGTAGCCCAAGTGGCAAGCACTTGGTGAAGTTTGGAGAATGACCAAGGATCGAAACCTGGCAGCGACCGTTGTGGAGGCGACCACCTCTGAAAAATGGGGGGAGTCTCTGGTGCGCACTAGGATATGGTCTAGCTAAGTGTTGTGTTTGGGTCACCAAGATTTACCTCCTCTCACAATCCCGTCGGGTCGGGGGTGAGGGGCGCCCGGGGTGAGCGATTTCACCTTTTGGAGAATGAATTATCCTCCTCCTCTTCTTATTATGGTGTCAGAGCCGGCTAGTGGTCATTCCATTTTTTTAATCAAGTGTTCTCTTCGGCCCAGTCTTTTGGAGTGGGGTTCATGATATTGGTAGAGCTTTAAATTAATTTTGTGTTAATGGTTACTTTCTTATCATATGGCCCTTTTTTTAGAGGAATGAACCTCATTCCTAAGAGTTCATCAGACTTGATTAGACGGTCACTATGAGAAAAATAAATTAGATTTTTACCACAAATTGATAGCAATAAGTGGAATTTGCATTTTGCACGTGCAGAGATCTTATGCTTGACATAATTACCTTCTAGTGTAGTTATCAAAAATCAAATTCAGGTCTACCCTTTGCCAATTTGTAAGTAAAACCTTTTGATTTAGAGCATGTTTTTTAGGACTAGAAAAAAAGAACTGATGTTGAAAGAAAGAGGAAAGAAACAAAAGAAATTAGAAAGGACTGGAAGAAACTGGAAGAAACTTCAAAAAATTGGAAAACCTAAAAAAACTTTAAAAATTGTTATTTTAGTGTATTTTTATATCATTCTCATTCTAATTTTTGTTGTTATAAATTATTATTATTATTATTATCATCATCACATTATCTTAGATAATGCCTTTAAAAAAGTATTGTTATTTTTCATACATTAAAAACTACTTTTACAAAAAAATAATTATAATATAAAGTTAGCATGAATATCAAAACGTTAAATTTTAAAAAGTTATTATGGTTACATTGCACCTCAATTTATTTATGCAGTATGTATTATAAATACGGAGTAATATATTTGTAATTGTATTTTATATATTACAAGATTTTATTTTAAATATCAAATATGTCACATAATGTAATCAAACTTATTTTTTCTTTCATGATTGATATTTTATTTTCCTTGTAACTCCTGTTTTTGGAATAATGACATAAATCTTTTTTTACATTTTTTATGTCTTACTCCTATTTTATTATTTTTCTCTAAACTATTGAGACTTTCAATTTTTTATTAAAATTAGAAAAATGAGAAAAAATTGAGCAATAAAGGGAAAGGTTTAGATTAATAAAACATTCTATGTAACTATTTTATTCATAATGTTTTAATATAGTTTAAAATATTAATATTTTTCTATTTTATCATGTAGATTAATACACAAAAATTTGTCTTATTCATATTAAAATGTTGAAAAAAAATAATGAGTATGAATCGTAAAAATAGTGAGATGAAAAAAATAAGAGTAAATTCCCAAAATCGTCCTTTGTAATAAGGTGTTTTCCCAATTCAGCCCTCAATACAATTTCCCCTAGAGTTCAAATATGGCTTTTATCAATTCTATTTTCAAAATGATTCAAATTAGTACTACGAGTGACAGGGTTGGAGTAATCCACTACCGGAGCTTTCTCGGGGGATTTAAGCAGTACCAAAAACGCTTGCAGCATGTTCATTCAATGTTGTTCCTGCATACTCGACAAGAGATGACACGAGGTTACAAAATTTGAAGCAAATGCGGCACATGATGTATTATCATATGGAGTAATGTCCAAGAAGATATTATGAGAGACATAACTGCATCCAACAATCTTTTCCTTTGTACTCAATAATGCGAGTAGTTGAATCGATGCAGAAGGTTTCTTTCTAAAATCTTGTGGATTGCATTTGTTTATCAATTTGCAGTATCTAATGTTTTGAAAGGCCAATGGGTCTAAATTGTTTATATATAACAAAAAACTAGCAGGAGCTATCGGAGAAGAAATGCAGTTTAACAAGGACGGTCTCCTCTAGTTTTGTAGAAATTAATATATAAATGCTGAAAGCGTAGGATTAAGAAAACAAAACTAATGTGAGATGTACAACTAGGTTTGCAACATTATGTGTAATCATAAAAACTCCACAAAGAACAAGGAACCCATCTAAATTCTAAACTAATGATGATGCTGGACACATTCATATTCTATAAATTAATCCAACGCATCAAAAAAAGGTTGCCTTGCATATATTTAAAGTTAGAAGGGATAAACTTGAAATGTTCGACGATCATATCATCCTCAGCTCCACCCTTAACTCCATGGTGTACTTTACAAATGCAGGTTTTGATTTCTCCGGTACATTTATTCCTGACATCCATAGTTATCCAATACAGAGACCCATAACCGGTAGAGAGAATGGCCCTCACTATGTCAACCAATTCCAGTTCCTCCTCCTAAATAATGGGAATATAAATACACAATCAAAGAATATACAATGAAAAAAACGAGAATGAAGGATGAAGACAAACAAACCTTTTGCTTTCCCAGAGCAACCTCGATGCACCTATTGACCTCGAGAGAATACTCTTCATAATCCTCATTGCTGAAATCGATGGGTCTAGCCCCATACCCAGAGATAATTGTTGGGAAAAAGTCGAGATAATAGCAATTAGAGAGACCAAGCTGGTGAATGTAGCGTCCGTATTGTCGTTTTTCCTCCTGAGTCCACTTCTCGTAGTGTTCTGGCTCAAGCAAGTGCTTGTGCTCCTCAAAGTACTCATCGTCCTGTTCGTTCCCAATGAATACGGTGCTGTGGCTGACGCCGCCGCGGCCGCCGCTTCCATAGCTGTTGCTGCCGCCGCTGCTCCCATCGCTGTTGCTGTCCCCGTCGCTTCCATCGAGCCTCTTCTTCTTCAACTCGGGTTCTGCACAATCCCAGGTGCGTGTATGAGAGGGGAACATACGACCCTTGTCATCCATAGCCAATTCAATATTTTCAGATCGCACAAGAGAGCGCAGGAGAGAGAACCCTAGATTTAGAATTTGGGGGGAATTTGTTCTGTCCGCATCCGTTTGACGCATCAAAACATGGGCCGAGCGGTTTAGACTTTTGTCTGATAGGATTTGGATCACTATATTTGACTGATCCGACTTATCTCTGATCTGTACCCAATTCTCAATAAATTTTTAAATATTCTAAATTCTTAAAATTCTTATATATTTCATGTATTTTGATGCACATAATTTGAATGTTGTAAAACTTATTACAATTTTTTTTTATTATGGTTTAATCTTGTGTGTGAGACATGTGTTATTTTATTTGTATTTCGTATAATATTTTAAATTTTATGTCATCTTTAAAATTTTAAATGTAGCAATAAAAATTACAAGTAGCAATAAAAATATATTTTAAAAGTAGAATTAGATTGACATTGTCAATGTATTTTAAAAATAATTTTTTCGACGTTTAATACTTAATGATTACTTTCTTAGTTTTCTATGTAACTTGTTTCTAAAGATTATTCTTTTTCATTTTAAGGATAATAATAATAATAATAATTCTTGATTGGATCTGATCTGATTTTAATAAAAATAAGAAAAAAACAAAAAAAATAAGTTGAACGAAACAAGGCCTATATCCTAAATTATACGCCAAAATTATGTAACAACATTTTAATGGTTTATATATACGAGTATGTAATATTAGTGTGATTAAAAAAGTTGCTTTAGTATTTTATACCGTGTAGAATTTGTGGTATAACTTTTGATGTACAAGTAGTTTAATTCTTTTATTTTATTTTGAGCATTGATCAACTAAAATATTGCAATTAATGAGACAAAAATATTCTTAATAGTACTATCTCTATTCCTAAATATTTATCGGGTTTTAACTTTTTGAGTTTTTGGGTTATTTTGGGTTCGGTTTGAGTTATCAAGCTCGATTTTTTTTTGCGAGGCCAGTCTAGGCTTGTTTGGCAATGCAACAATTTCAATATAATAATATATACCTCTAACATCTCAATATGAAACCCATACCATATTAAACAGCTATTCAAAACATCAACATTAATTATATTGTCAGTGTTGTTCCCAAAGTTCACAAATAAGAGTTCTATGGGATGTGTTGTAGAGTGAAAGGAAAAGAATGAATTGAGAAAGATTCTATTGGATGTGTTGTAGAGTGAAAGGAAAAGAGTGAATTGAGAAAGTAATACCCTCGATCCTTTCCATAATCTTCTTCTCCTTTTTCTTTCTTTGTTCCACAAAGTCCTACGGTTGGATTGGAAAAACCGAAAATCGCAAACCAGACTGAAATTAATCGAAACGAGCTACAAAAAAAACGAGCTGAAAAAACTGAAACTGAATGTAAAAAAACTGAACCGTTATTGTTAGGTTTCCGTTTTTGTTTTCACTTTGAAAAACCAAAATGAATTAAATAAACCGTACTTTCTTAGGTACTTCGCTTTTTGTACTTAGCTATTAAATATTTTGAACCATATTATAAACTACAATAAACCTAGAAATTTAACACCAATAAGTAATCCTAATAAGGAGTTATATTAACATTAAAAATTCAAACGAGTAGGTTACATATTAACATGAAAAATTTTGATGTTATGATATAAATGAAAGTATTATACCGAAAAGTATAAATTCTTTGTTAGTGATAATTACATACGAAAGTTTTGGGAGTATTTAGAATCTCCTAGAAAAAATAATACCAATAGAAGACAGGCCTCTATCCCCAAATGGGCCAGCCCATGTAGGAGAAGCCAGCCCAATCCTATCGCTCCAGCTTTCTCTTTACTCTACTTACTCTAAACACTCATTCCTGACCCTTGGACATATTGGAGGTGCATGTTGCTCCATCACATATATAAAATTCTTTGAATATTAAAATAAATAAAATCATATTTTAGTTTTAATTGTAATATACTTTTATTATAAGATTAAAGATTTTAGAGTGTATCTAAACCCATGCAAAGTAAGCTACTAAAACTAGTGTGTACAATTTCCTTTTTACTTTCATATTTTCATTGATCATATGTTAAAACAAAATAGTCTTGTCACATTTTCTTATATATACTCGGTATGTATAATATTTTGGTACGTACCACACTTAAAACCTTACAAGTACATGCATAACATTGGTATTAAAACTTATGAATCTTGGTGCACATAAATAGTTGTAATTCTTTAATTAGTAATGTGATCCATCAAGAGAAAAATTTAGAGTATACTTTAAAAATGAATCCTTAGTTAAACAAAGCACAACATATAGCTAGGTTTTCCTCAGTACTCCTAACTTCCTTTCTCTGTATGTGTAGCACTCTGCCCTGGATATTCTTCTTATTAGGTGCCTTCTTCAATTCTTCTCTCAACCAACACATCTTAAGGTACATGCTACATTAATCTTACATTAATTTGTACTTTGTTTACTCATGTATTTTAAGCTTCATATAATAAAGAATTTGTTTTGTTTGTTTTCAGAAAGCTTCACAAGAATGAATAGGGGCAGCGCAAGCAAGGGCCAGCATAGACAGAAGAAGAGAGAAAGACCAAAGGTAACACTTGACCTTAGCCTGCTCAAACACAAATTGCAATTTTTTTTTGAAAGAGAGAGAGAATGCAAATATAATGGTGGTCATAAGTAGAAAAACACACACAAATGGAACACTAAAAACCACATCAAAAATACAATATCTTACAAGAGCCAGTACAATCTCTGTGGGACAGTAAGGGCACTTGAATAATGGTACTATTGTTTTGGAAAATTTCATTAGACACTACTTGCACAATTTCTTAAAAGAGGCTCAATCTCATTACTAGAGCTCTTTTTCAGAGACAACCATGGATCTTGAAACCCCCTTTGCCCCTTATTCTGTTTAGCATTGTATTTGAGAGCTTTTCTAGGGGCTTATCAACAACACTTGGCTTTACTTTGCCGAATACTCCCAGCACTGCTCCCACTTCCAAAACAACTTCACAAAAAAACCAGCATAGCTCAGCCCCAAATTCATCTGATTTTCATAATATATATATATATATATATATATATATATATATATATATATATATATATATATATATATATATATATATATATATATATATATATATATATATATACTCCCTCCGTCCAATATTTAACTTTACGTTTTGACCGGGCACGCAAATTAAGAAAAGCAAAAAAAACCCCTTGACTTTCCAAAGTTGCCCTTTACCCTTTCAATAATTTATATGGAGTGCATTAAGTAATTAAAGGCAAACTTGAATGGAAAAGTAATGATTTGATAGATAATGATTACAAATCAAAAAGTAGATGTTTCTCAAAGTACATGTCCACATCAACTACACATTTCAAATTACACGGTAATTTCATTACCCAAATTAGCCAAAAAAAAAAGGTGGGTTTTCCCTCCATAGTCAAAATTTCCCACCCAAACATAAAACTTCCAAGGCTATAAATACTGCCTTTCTTTTTTTAGAAACTTCATACAGCTTTCCGTCTTTGCTTTTCTCTTCTTGGTTATCCACAGTTCCTTCTTTGCTGCCATTATCTTCCTTTCTTTGCTTTTCTCTTCCAGCCATGTGAGAAACACTTTTTTCTTCATTCTTTCTCTTCTTAGGGTGAGAAAGAGCCTTTTTTTCCTTTATCCAAAGCTACCTTTGATGCCATATCAATTTCAGGAATGGAGCCAATTCCTACACAAACACTGCACCCACAATTCGAAAACACACCGGCTCAAAGGAAAAAAAGGCTAACAAATTTAGAGAGACAAGGAATAATTGACAAGTTGTTACTATGTGCACAAACAAATTTAATGGGCACACAAACTGCTCAGAGGGGTGCTGTGCAAAGTGTTGCTGCTGAGTTCAACGTTAGTAGACAGACTATTAGTTCCCTGTGGAGAAAGGCTAAGGCACAACTACAAGTAGGTGTCTTAATTGACGTAAGTAGTCGAATGGCAGGAAATGTTGGAAGGAAAAGAGCAGCACTGGACTTCGAATCCATTACACTAATTCCACTGCGGAGGAGAACCACAATCAGGTCACTAGCCTCATCAGTGGGGATCAGCAAGTCAACAGTGCATAACTGGGTGAAAAGAAGTATTCTTCGTAGCCATACTAATGCAATTAAGCCCACACTTAATGATGCAAATAGGAGGCAAAGGTTGATTTTCTGTTTGCAACAGTTAGAAGAAACAAGTATCCCTTCAAACCCAACATTCAAAGGTTTTAAAAATGTGTTGCACATTGATGAAAAGTGGTTTTTCATGACAAAAACATCACAACGATACTACTTGACTCCAGATGAGGATGAGCTTCACAGAACATGTCAATCAAAGTGATTTATCACAAAAATCATGTTCTTAGCAGTTGTAGGAAGACCTGTTATTTCAGATGAAGATGAAGTACTTTGGGATGGTAAAATAGGGATTTTCCCCTTCGTGGAATGTGTTGCCGCTAAGAGAAAAAGCAAGAACAGAGAAGCAGGTTCAATGGAAACCAGACCAATATCAAGTGTAACAAAAGAAGTTTTTAAAGAGATGTTAGTGCGTACAGTAATACCTGCCATCCAAGAGACTTGGCCTAGTTTCATGAGCAAGGAAATTGTAATCCAACAAGATAATGCTAGGCCACACATTCTTGGAAGTGATCCAGACTTTGTAATGGCTAGCACAATTAATGGCTTCCAAATTACCCTTGCAAACCAGCCCCCTAATTCCCCAGATCTAAACATTCTAGATTTAGGTTTTTTATAGGGACATACAATCATTGAAGGAGCAATCAGCTCCCACCAATGTCAATGAGTTAATGCAGGCAGTTCAAGATGTGTACAATCACTTCTCAGCCCATACACTAAACAAAGTATGGCTTAGTTATCAGAATGTTATGCAAGAGGTAATGAAGGTTGAAGGGGGAAATAACTACAAATTGCCACACATGGGAAAGGATGCCATGCATAGAGAAGGACACTGCCTTATGTACTACAACTAGAAGAAGGTGTGTATGAGAGAAGTGTTGCACTCCTTGGTGAGCATAACGTGCCAAATCAACATGTGGTTGAGACACATGAACTCCTTTTGGGTCAGTTCATTCTTGAAGAAGACGAGGAGATCATTCTTCAAGATTGAACTAACACCTTACTACATGTATTTGTGGTTGTGTATACTCCGTATATTTTGTGTATGATAGTGGTTGTATCTTGCTTTGGGGGTTTTTGAATTTTGGGGTTTTTGAACAAGCAGCAACCACACATGCAAATTGTACTCCAATATAAGTATGGATTAGTTAGTACTCATCATTGCAGTTATACTCATCATGTTATGCACACACATACATTAAAAAAGAAACATCAATCTCATCATAGCATGCACAGGGGTAACAAGGGACAGATTATGTGCTCACACATAGGTAATCAGAATTTAATGGGCAAACATACATAAAAGTAGAAGCACCAACCAAATCACTGCAGGCTCAAGTATAGCAGAAAATCAAAAATACTGAGAAGAGAAGAGTTAAGAGTACACACTTAGGTAAATCCCATCCTGGAATCAAAATCTTTAAGAAGTCATCACATGCATGATTTCGAACACACACAAAGCTCGATGGGGCCTTCCAAGAGTCAACGGGGTTTTCGTCTTCCTCTGAATCAAGGACCACCTCTTCGAGATTCTCAATCTCATCAGCGGGTACATTCGAGGGAAGTTGCTCAATCACCGATTCCCTTACCGGAGAGATGATTTTTTCAGAATTAACAGATTCGCCCAGATCAGTGAAGAAATTTGGAGTTTCAGAAATTATACTATGCAAATCTTCAGATTCCATCGAAGAAGAAAGGATTAAGGGCTGTGGGTGTGGGTGAGAGCAACTAAGGAGAAATCAAATTTTCTTTCAGGGAGAAGTCGAAGAGGTGAGTTTGGGATGAAGAGAAATCTGAGATCTAGATCTCAGATAGAGAGAGGAGGCGATGAACTGATGAAGGCTTCCGTTTGAAAAAAAGGAGAAAATATCGAGTAATTAAATTGGAGGTGTAGGTGGGGTAGTTTAGATTAATTAAGGTGGGTAGAGGGGTTGGGTGATGTGAAATAAAATGAAGGGTATAAAAGTCATTTTAGTATGGAATCCTTACCTAAAAAGGAAATGTAAAGTTTATTTGTGGACGGACGAAAAAGGAAAGTGTAAAGTTTAATTGTGGATGGAGGGAATATATATATATATATATATATACACACACACACACACAACCACTCTCTTGGTGTTGTTTTCTGGCATTTTCACCAAAAAAAAGGGTCTCCTCACCGATTATTTGTTAAGCCCTTCTCTCAAGGGCAAGAGGAGTTGAGGAAGCACAAGTCACCTTGTGTAGTACTCTTTCTTCAAGGACATCTAAGTGTCAAGGGTGCTTCAACATAACCATATTGTGTTTAGCCACAGTCTTTGTGCTAGCCAACAGGTGGTTGCGCTAGACTCACTAAAGATTGTTTTTCCAGGAGAAAGTGTGATTAGTTGTGAGTTCGAATAGAGTAATTGTTTTTTGTATGGAGTTCCTTTGGCATACTGTTTGTTTAAGCTTAGGTCATGCTATTGGTTACTAGTTTATGCACTCTTAGATTCCTGTTGATCTAAATATACAAAATACTTAGTTATTTTTAAAAACATGGAAGTATTAATTGCAATTAGTTTTAAATATTTTTCTTTACTAGGATGTGGGTCCAGATGAAGATCCATATCATTGATTGGAGAAGAAGAGAAAAGTTGGTTAGCCCAGTTCGCAACCAAATTATGAGTAATGTTTGAATTATATACTCCATAGAACTACATAGATAAAAGAAGAAGTAATGTTCAACTAATTAGGTTTTTTGTAATTTTTTTATAAAAGATATATGCTGGGCCATTTCAGTATCTGCGGGAATAGAGGCTGCATGCAACATTGGTAAAGCCCATCGCGACCAATTTGTTCAAGTGTCAGGACTTAGCTAACTCGGTACATCATTACGAGGATACTACCATCACATGCATTAATCGATCATATTTGCACGCAAAGAGAATTGGCATTTTTCTCGAGAAGAAGTGCCCGTTCGTAGGAAAGTGTGAGGCCCCTAAAAATAGAAAGCAGAATCAGGTAATACATGGTATTACAGAACTAATTAGAGTATGGTCACGAACACGAAGTGTACGTGTCTAGGGAATATTGTGTATGTGTTTTTCCGTATTATATATACTTCATATAAGACTAGTCGCTTGCTTTAACTTATTTCATTAATATTTTAACTATTTAATTAATTTAACACGAGAAACACGCAATATATATTTCTGACTATACTTTAACAAGAAATGTCAATGAAGTAGAATTGCTAAAAATTGTTCGGAAGCAGCCTGTTGTGACCGAGATCGAAATAACCCAGAGCTTTGTTCCTTGCAAAGGTGATTAAGTGTAATTATTAGTCAATTGACGAATGATATAAATATTTCGGCACATTTTTCTGAAAGTGTTTAGTTGAAGAAAATCAATTTTACTACTACTTAATCTTATACAATATATGCTTTGATATAACTCTATATATTTAACAGGCTCCTAGTGCAATAAAGTTATCACTAGATCCTTTGTATATCTTATCCTAAAATTCAAAAAAGTTAAATATATAAAGTTATATCAAAGCATATATTATATAAAATTGAGTAGTAGTGCAATTGATTTTCTTCAAATAAACACTTTCAGAAATGTGCTGAAATATTTATATCATTCGCCAATTGACTAATAACTACACTTAATTACCTTACAAAGCTCTGGGGTTATTTCGATCTCGGCCACAACAGGCTGCTTCCGAACAATTTTTAGCAATTCCACTTCATTGACATTTCTTGTTAAAGTATAGTCAAAAATATATATTGCGTGTTTCTCTTGTGAAATTAATTAAATAGTTAAAATATTGATGAAATAAGTTAAAACGAGCAACTAGTCTTATATGAAGTATATAATATGGTAAAATATATACACAATATTCTCTAGACATGTACACTTTGTGTATGCCGTGACCATACTCTAATTAGTTCTGTAATACCATGTACTACTTCATTCTACTTTCTATCTTTATGGGTCTCACACTTTTCTACGAAAAGGCACTCTTTCTCGGAAAGAATCTCCACTCTCTTTGCGTGCAAGTATGGTCGACTAATGTATGTGATGGTCTCATCCTCGTAATGATGTACCGAGTTAGCTAAGTCCTGCGCTGACATTTGAACAAATTGGTCGCGATGGGTTTTACTAATGTAGCATGCAGCCTCTATTCTCGCAGATACCAGCATACATCTTTTATAAAAAAAATTACATAAAACCTAATTAGTTGAACATTACTTCTTTTAACTATGTAGTTTTATGGAGTATATAATTCAAACATTACTCGTAATTTGGTTGCGAACTGGGCTAACCAACTCTTCTCTTCTTCTTTAATCAATACATGGATCTTCATTTAAACCCTCATCCTAATAAAGAAAAATATTTGAAACCAATTTCAATTAATACTTCTTTATTTTTAAAAATAACAAAGTATTCTGTATATTCAACTCAACATGAATCTGAGAACTTAAGAGTGCATAAACTAGTAACCAATAGCATGACCTGAGCTTAAAAATACAGTAAATCAGACATGCCAAAGGAACTCCAAACAAAGAAAAGACAATTACTCTATTGGAACTCACAGCTAATCCAAGCAGTGTTGAAAAGACTCAAATCTTGTCCATTCGAAGATGCTCCTGCATTACGACATGAGACACACAGCATATATGCATCCAACAATGTATTTTGGGATATGGGCAGTATTTTACTCTTCTATGTAATAGTTGAACAGGTTGAACAGTCGAACAGAGGTGGCATGTCTCTTTCTCATCCCTTGTGGATTGCAATCATTTACCAATTTGAAGTATCCAGTTTTATTTATTTTTTTATTTAAGGCAATGGGTTTATATTGTTTACTACGTATATAACAACTAAAAAATGTTGGAGCAACCGTCTCCTCTAGTTTTGTAGAAGTTGATAAATAAATGTTGAAAGCATAGACATAGACATAAGAAACAAAAACTAATGCGGGACTAGGTTCATAATAATGATGATGCAGGATATATATGGACATAAATTCACACTCCATCAATCAATGTTGGGAAAACTTACCCTCGAACAACACTCTCTCAAGAATAGTATAGGAGGAACAATTTGTGCACAAAAAAATTAGAGAGAGCAATACACAATTTTTATGAGGGAAACCCCTCTCAACCAGGGAAAAAACCACAATCCTCTCAAATAGGCTTTATAATATTGTATCAATTGGAGTATAACATCACAATATTACAACAACTGACTCCTTCCCTCCCTCCCTTCCTCCCTCAAATGGCTTAAATAGCCAAAAATCTCAATCATGGCCATAAGAAAATCATTAGAAAAAAACTCTCATGATTTCCATATTCGTTAGAAGTCAAACCAAACAATTATAGATGTGCCATAATACATGCTTAGTAATTGAGCATAAGAGATATCCCAACAATCAAAGCCAAGAAATCAAGAGCAAAAAAAATGCTTACCTTTGAGATGGATATGTAAGGTTTGAAGGGATAAACTTGAAATGTTGAACAATCATATCATCCTCGTCTCCAGCCTTAATTCCATGGTGGACTTTACATATGCAAGTTTTGATTTCCCCAGTATCTTCGTTCCTGACATCCATAGTTATCCAATACAGAGAGCCATAGCCGAAAGAGTAATTGGCCCTCACTTTTCTAACCAATATCAGTTTCTCCTAAATAATGGGAAGGTAAATAAGCAACCAAAAAAGGAAACAAATGAAAGGGAGAAGGATGAACACACAAAAAAACAGACCTTTTGCTATTCCAGAGCAACCTCGATGCACCGCATGATTTCTGTTCCAAAATTCTCTTGATAATCCTCATCTGTGAAATCGACAGGTCGCTTTCATTGCTGTTGCCGCCGCTGCTTCCATTGATATTGCTGCCGCTGCTGCTTCCATTGCTTGTTGCCGTCCCCGTCGCTTCCATCGAGCCTCTGCTTCTTCTAATCGGATTCTGCACAATCCTAGGTGCGTGAATAAGAGGAGAACATTCGACCCTTGTAATCCATAGCCAATTCAATTTTTCAGATCGCACAGGAAAGCGCAGGAGAGAGAACCCTAGATTTAGAATTTGAGGGGAACCGAGAAGTTTTGGGCGGAATTTATTGGGTCCGCAAACGTATCAATATATGGGCTGAGGGGGCGCTGAGCTATGGTTCAAGATTTTCCCAGCTTGGCTCACTTCACGTTTTCACATGCGTTTCTCATGTTTTCTTTTCCTACTCGGGGAGAGTACTTTGGCCTTGGGTGACCTTGAGCCCAATTATATTGGATTACAAGTATAGTATGTATATTTTATCTTTCATTTTTTAATTGTCAACTGCAATCTAACTTCAAAATTTGAAATATTTAGGTGCAAAATTAGTGAAGTTTAAGAGACTAAAAAATTAATTAAAATATTGATATAAATAATAAATTGGTGATAATTTATTTGTTTTTTCTCTTTTAGTTCAATTCAATATACCAAAATCAAGATATTAATGAACAAAATACAAAAAAAAACTTTTCAAAAAACAATCGAAATGATTGAGAAGATATCACAAGCATAAACAAACACAAGTTTTTGCCAAGAGTGATATACATAATTTAGGGGAATGATATTTTTTGTACAATTCTATATATTCACATTTCATATTGCCTTGTTCAGACCTCATATGGTTTCGATCTCAAGAGTTTCTAGACTGATCACATTGGGTATAATCAATTTTGACTTTCGTGTATGATCAATTCTAAATCAAAAGAACTGTTCTGTGAGTTTTAGAGATATAATAAGATATAAGTTATGAAATCTAAAAAATGGAGAGATATCAAACCCTCATATTGATATCTCTCAAACCCTTGATTTGAAGGATTTATGATATCTAGAGGTATCAAATTTGATATATATATCTTGTCTGTTCGCCAAACACGCCCTAATTAAAGTTTGAATACACTTGGTTGAGTTTTGATTCGATTCAAGGCATTCCGAGTTCTTTGGGCATGTATCAAATTCTTAGTGTCATGAGAAATTGAGAATGATATATATTTTGAAAGTGAAGGGTGAACATGGAAATTGGGGCATTAATGATTTCACCATATTGTGTGAAATACGAGCATTTAATACCCAAACCAAAATACTTCCTCCAAAAAGCCAGAAATGCATATGTGAACAGGTTAGCATATGATTATGGAAGTCATGCTTAGCTTATGGGGCTTATCAATGGCGCAAATGGTTATCACTATGCCATCATCAATTTACTGTCATTTATTTTGCCCAATCTAATAACCAAACCAGAATGCAGATAGATTGACCACATCAACAGATGTTTCACACTTTTTAGAGGCATCGACTAAAACAAAAGATTTCCATTCATAGAGCTGAAAGCTGCTGCCACTAACATAATAAACCCAAAGGCCAAAACACAGCACAGGAAGTTATCCATCCAATACAGACAAGCCCTTTGACATGAAGTTGTATGAGATTAACAAAGTTAGAATATCTAATAATATAACACTACACCTACATAGTGCAATTCCTCAAGAGCTCATCTCATGCAAACAATATCTACGATGCCTCGAGATTCAAGCAGTATTGAAAAGTTTTGATGCTTGTTCATTCAATGTACTTCCTGCATATGACATGAGAAACAAGGTTACAAAATTTGAAGCAAATGCACATGATGTATAAGCATACAGTCCAAGATATTATGAGACATATATGCATCCAACAATATTTTCCATTGTAGTAATAGTTGCACAGATGCATTACGTCTCTTTGGAATCTCTTGTGTATTGCATTCATTTATCAATTTTAAGTTTTAAAAGGGCAGTTGGTCTATAAATTGTTTAAAAATCTAAAAATGCTATAGCTGCAGGAGAACCAATGCAAGTTAACATGAAATGATTCCTTTAGTTTAATAGAAGTGAATGTATAAATGCTCTGAACACATAGATATGAGAAACCAAAACTAATGCAGGACACATTCATAGCCTATAAATCCAGAGCAAAAATGAAGGGTTACCTTGCATATATTTAAAGTTCGAAGGGATAAATTTGAAATGTTCGACGATCATATCATCCTCAGCTCCACCCTTAACTCCATGGTGTACTTTACAAATGCAAGTTTTGATTTCTCCCGTACCTTTGTTCCTGACATCCATAGTTATCCAATACACAGAGCCATAACCGGTAGAGTGAATGGCCCTCACTATGTCAATCAATTCCAGTTCCTCCTCCTAAAGAATTGGAATATAAACACACAATCAAAGAATATACAATGAAAAAAGGAGAATGAAGGATGAAGACAAACAAACCTTTTGCTTTCCCAGAGCAACCTCGATGCACCTATTGATCTGGGGAGAATGCTCTTCATAATCATCATTGCTGAAATCGATGGGTCTAGCCCCATACCCAGAGATAATTGTTGGGAAAAAGTCGAGATAATAGCAATTAGAGATATCAAGCTGATGAATGTAGCGTCCGTATTGTCGTTTTTCCTCTTGAGTCCACTTCTCGTAGTGTTCTGGCTCAAGCAAGTGCTTGTGCTCCTCAAAGTACTCATCGTCCTGTTCGTTCCCAATGAATACGGTGGTGTCTCCGCTGCTGTCCCCGTCGCTTCCATGGCCGCCGCCACCGACCCTTTGCTTCTTCAGTTTGGGTTCTGCATAATCCCAAGTGGGCGAATGAGAGGTGAACCTACGGCCCTTATCATCCACAGCCAATCCCATTTTTTACAGATCGCACAAGGGAGCACAGGAAAGAACCCTAGATTTGGAATTTTGAGGGGAACTGAAATTCGGCAATTCGCATGCGTTGACGGATCAGCTGAGCAGGTTCTATAAGCTTTTCGGGTATTTTAGGACGTTTGGTCATTATTATTTAGTCATTATTCAAGTAAATGTCTATCATTGCTGGGCATTATTCCTTCCACGAAGACATTATTAAGTCCTATTTAGGGAATAAAAAAGTTTAAGTCTTAAATTAGAAAAGTCATTATGTTTTAGTACTATTTAGTGCAAATTTTACTTTTCACTTTCTATTCTTATGACATGGGTTCCTATTAGGATTTTTACTCTAAAATCAACTAAATCTCGTAGGTTGCAATTGACGGAAGTACGAAGAATATATATAGTTTATTTTATCCAAATACTCCGTAATATTTAAGAGCTCTTTATATTGCACTTTTAGTTTTTCATTTTAACTTTTTGTATTTTGATTTCTTTTTTTATATTTCAGTTTTTTTACCAGATCAAAATTGTGTGCTTCAATAATCTTTTAATAATATGAAAAACTAATTAATTTATGACCGACTATAGCTAAAAAGTATAAAATATTTCTAATTTCTTTAAATTTTGAATGAGATTGCTAGTGATACAAATTGAAAATAAAAAAAGTGAACTATAGATGAAAATAAAATGAAATTTTTGGTGTTTTCGGTATTACCGAATACCAAACCGAAATATTTTTGGTATTAACCATACAAAACCGATTTAATACGATTTGGGATTCGTTACAAAAATAGTTTTACCAAAATTTGGTACGGTTTTACCGAATGAACACCCATACGTAGTTTAATTTAATTCAGTTTGTGCAATATGTAATCTATCAAATTGATACTTAAATGGTGTTTTAAGTTCAGTAACCCATACTGTTATATATTCATATTGATTACAAATTTTGTTTCCAACCTTATCCTTCATTCAATCATTTGTACGTATTGAAAGCATAACACATCATATGCATGTGTAAGAGATCATTACCTCGTGCGTCTCTTATAGCGTAATCGTGCAGGACTTAGCAGTCCGACGTCACACATTTTGGCTTAGTGTACGTAAATGGTATTCAGGTTTTCAAGTACCACCCTGGCACCCTCATCTGATTTCTAGTCTCCTTCGTGAGACTAAGATGCCGTGAGTTCGTCATATCAAATGGGTGATTCTAATAGCGCAAGAGTCGTCCTTGCACAGTTAGTTTCATCTATCATTAAATCATCATTAGGAATAACCATATTGATTATATGTATCATTAAGTATTTATCATCATGAACCATCATCTTGATCATATGTGCTATTGTATGTCATATCATTAATAATCATATGTCTACTTTCTATTCACATTGCAATTGTTTGTATTAGAGTACTCCTCATCTTACATTGAGTGTGTAGTTTGTTTTTACTTGCTACACGCAGGTTGGAACGCAGAACATGGAGCCCATCCCAGAGGTCAACGAGAGTGAGGAGATGTACGGATTGGTGGACTTTTATTATGCATTATTTAAATAAATTATCTTTTCGAGTGAGTACCCAGAAAATGTAACATAAATTTGTTTATGTTTTATTTTAAAGCTTCCGTATTGTTTGAGACATTTACTCTGAAATAATTATTGACTTAAGTATCTATTTCAAAGTTTAATTAGTTTTGAATTATTAATCAAGTTATCATCTGCAATTACCATCTTGGTAACTACTCCGATCCGGATAATCTAGCGTTAAGGGGCGATGGTGTTAAGGGTTAAGGCGAGAGTGGTGGGGGCTGGCCGGCTGGGTCATTCGCCGGCGATGATGGGGGCGGTGGGTGCTAGCCTCGGCAGAGACTAGGGTGGTGTTGAGGCTGTAAAAGAGTTAAACATGTAAAAAATGAAGGGTATATTAGATCTTTTCCTTCCAAAGTCAACCATTCAAAAAAATGAGAAAAAGTCTAAATGGGAAGATTTTTTCCGGACGGAGGGAGTAGTACATTGAAGTTTAAAACTTTGAACACTCGATAATTGATTACTTCACTTTACAACTTTATGGGTTTTAAAATTTTTCAAACATTATAATCCAAATAGACTCGGGTATACTAAACTAAAGGAGTAAAAAAAAAGTAACCCACAACCAACACAACGAATAGACTCAAGAAGTGGTACCGTATTCACCACTACTTAAGCTACGTTCCGTTCTTTCAACCTGATTTCTTGAATATTTGGTCTACCTATTAGATTTAGTCCGATCATTGTAGTTATATTTAAAATTATTTCTAATCTGATTGAATCTGAATAGACCTGATCTAATCTAATCTAATTTTATTAAGAATAAATAATACTTCCTCTGTCCCATTTTAAATTGCCCGTTTGCCTTTTTTCTTCATCCCAAAATAAGTTGCTTTGTTACTTGTTATCGTAAATTTTAAGAGTAAAATACCTAAACTATCCCTAAAATAAGTCATTCTTCTCCACCTTATCTTCTCATTCATCGTCACCCCTCCTAAAAAGTAATGACAATTTCGAAAAATAAACTCTATTTTTTCTCTTTCTTAAATATGCCCAAAAGTCAAAACAGACGATTTAAAACGAGACGGGGAGTAGGTTGAAACAATAAGTTGAACAAAATAAACTCTTAATCATAGTGTAATAAGTTAAAGACCTCATCAATAATGAGTATAGCATTACACCTACTTGGAATTTGGAATTGTGCTTTTATTTTTTTTTTCCTCGTAATTTTTTTAAAACTAATTTAATATTAATTTTTACTCAGTAATAACTTCATATTAGTCATCTAACTTCATATTAGTCATCTTAAAATGTAAGTTGGACACTCTTTTATCAGTATCTTTCCACATCAACCCTATGTCTAATGACATATTTTCATGTCAGCTTGACGAACAACACAACACAAATGACCGTAGTTGTAGTAGACATCGACTACAATTGACAAACAACGCATCAACTGTGACCTCTAACAATAGATATAGAAAGAAAGATATATGATGATTGTAAAATTATATTTTAACCAATATATAAAATTTACTCTTAATTATGTGGTCAAGCTTCGTCAAGTCCCCAACTCCCCACCATAACACATGACTACAGTATGTAAAATTCTCTATTAGTGCAGGGTCAGCACCAGTATCTTTTTAGTATGTAATAATAATTCATGTTCTATAAATCAAAGCCAAGAAATACATATATGGTTATAAATTCAAAGTTTGAAGGCATACTGTTGAAACAGCCCCTATGTTTTAGTTTTTGGATTATTAGTGTGCACAACTATTTAAGCTTTGCATTGTTATTCTGTTTTGCACTTAAGCTTTGCACTCAGATTTGGTCAGAGCATGAAAGGTTTTTAAGTACTATATGAATCATTTTAAAAAACCAGATTAGAGTACTGAGTCAGGTATTGCAATTTTTTAAAAAAGTGGGCATATTTGTTCTAGTAGCAAAAAAAGGGGGAATGGGTGCTCTGCCAAGTTACATAGAATATACTGTTCCTAAAACTAAAAGAGGTTCATACACCGGTAAAATATTGAACCCAAACCACAGCAGAAGTTACAAGTTCATAAAAGTTAGGACATTTAATAAGGACAACCCCATTGACATGAAGTTGTATGTGATCAATAATATAACACTACACCTACACAGACACACAGTTCAATAAGTCATATACCTCATCTCATGCCCACAATATCCACAGTGGCTCTAGATTCAAGCAGTATCCAAAAGAATTGAATCTTGTTCATTCAAAAATGCTCCTGCATACAACATGAGACACAAAGTTACAAATCTGAAGAAAACGCGCACAACGTATTACCATATATGCATCCAACACTGTGTTTTTGGGATATGAGCAACCTTTTTACTATGAAATAGTTGAACAGATGAGGCATATCTCTTTCTAATCTCTTGTGGATTGCAATCATTTATCAACTTGAAGTCCCCAAATTGTTTTTAGGGTGTGGGTTTATATTGTTCATATACATAAAAAATGTTGGAGCTGCAGGACACAAATGCAATTAATTTACTATGAAAATGTCTCCTCTAGTTTTTTAGAAGTTGAAAAAATAAATGATGAGAGCATAGACATAAGAAACCAAAACTATTGATGCTGGATACAAATTCATACTCAGTCAATCAAATCCAAGAAATCAAGAGCAAAAAACAACAGTTACCTTGCAGATGGATTTGTAAGGTTTGAAGGGATGAACTTGAAATGTTCCACAATCATATCATCCTTGTGTCCACGCTTAATTCCATGGTGGACTTTGCATATACAAGTTTTGATTTCCCCGGTATCTTCGTTCCAGACATCCATAGTTATCCAACACAGAAAGCCATAGCCAAAAGAGTAATTGACCCTCACTATGCGAACCAATTTCAGTTTCTCCTAAATAATGGGATTATGGGAAGGCAATTAAACAACAACAAAAAAACGAAGGGAGATTGGAGAAGATTGAACACAAACAAACAGACCTTTTGCTTTTCCAGAGCAACCTCGATGCACCTCATGACTTGTTTTTCATATTTATCTCGATCATCTTCGTCTGTCAAATCTATAGGTCTAGGTCCTGTCCAAAGGGGAAAGGTCGGGATAAAGTCTAGATAATAGCAATTGGAGATATGTATCTGATGAAAGTAGCGTCCGTATTGTCGTTTTTGCTCCAGAGTGGAGGTCTCGTAGTCTTCTGGATCGAGCATGTACTTGTATTCCTCAAAGTAGACATCGTCCAGTTCGTTGCCAATGAAGACCCTGCTGAGGCCGCAGATGACGCCGCCGCTGCTTCCGTTGCCGTCCCCGTCGCTGTCTCCACCGAGCCTCTGCTTCTTCGGTTCGGGTTCTGCATAATCACAGGTGGGTGAATGAGAGATCAACCTAGAACCCTTCTCATCCATAGTTTTAAAAACCGGACCGGACCGGCCGGTTCGGACCTTGAACAAGTTTCGAACCGGTCCGGCCCATTAGACCGTAACAAGCTTCGAACCGGTCCAAAACTTCACTCCATGAGGATTTGAAACCAAGACCTCTTAGATATTTAATTGGGTTCCTAACCATCCAACTAACGGTACTTGTTGTTACAAATTCGTATTATATTTTATAATATTTCATAATTAATTAAAAAATTTCATACAAATAACTTTTCAATTTTAAAAATATAATACGTAGTATTATATAGATATGAGTCAAACACAAAATCATTGATATTTTTTTAAATAAAATTTTAATACTGAGTATTATTTTTTAATATGTAAATTTTATCATCTAATTGAGTAAAATAACTCAAGTATATTAATATAATTTTAGTCAAATATTATAAATTACTTTCTTTATGTATTTATATATGGGAATGTGTGTGTGTGTGTCTATATATATATATATATATACACACACACACACACATACATACACACATACATACACACATACATACATGCATACATACATACATATACATATATATATATATATATACACACACACATACATACATGCACACATACATACATACACATATACATACACACATACATACACACACACACACATACATACATACATACATACATACATACATACATACATATATATATATATATATATATAATTTTTAAATATGTTTAAACCACCGGTTCAACCAGTTGAACCACTGGTTCGACCAGTAAAGCAGTAAACCAATACCTTGACCGGTTCGGTCACCGGTCCGGTTCTCAAAACTATGTTCTCATCCGTAGCCAATTCCATTTTTTCAAACCGCACCAGGAGAGAACCCTAGATTTAGAACTGGACCATGCACCCAAAATTTTACCCCATCTATATACCCCAGTTATATAAAACCATTTTAATGATTTACACCGATACAAGTATTAGTGTGTTAGCAAAAATTTACACAGACACAAAGTGTTGGTACATTAACAAAATTAGTTTTACACCAACATAAAATGTTGGTGCAAACAAGCGGTGTACAAATGGAGTACAAAAGCTTAAGGTACAATAGGAACTAAACAAATTAAATATCCATCCCACAAAAAAAAGCAAGAGACTAAAAAAATCAAATAAATAAAAATAAAATAAAATTGAGTGGTGGAAAAAGGGGTGGGGGACAAATGGGTGTACCCCTAACATTGCTCAAATTTAAACCATACCCAACTTTTGTCGAATTGGATTGGGTGATAATATTTGACTGCTTCGACTCGTATCGGGCCCAACATTCAATAAGTTTTTTAAAAAGTCTAAATTTCTATATTCCTTAAAATTGTTATGTACATGTTTTAAATATTTTAAAACTTATTAGATTTCTTTCTGTTTCATGTTTTATTGTGGATGGATCTTGTGTGTCACCCTTATGTTTTTTTCTTTGTACTCTGTATACACCAAGGTTTCCATGACATTGGTAACGATGTCATGGGATGACCCAGAGGCGCTCCGGTGCATCATTCGTAAAATTGACAGTTCCTACCACCCCTACCCCCCGGTAAACCCCCACCCCGCCTCAGACCCGAACACACTCCTCCTACCCTCTTCAATTGCACCCCACAAGTTGATTTTGACTTTAGAGTCAAAATTTGACTCCAAAGTCAAAATCAACTTGTGGGGTGCAATTGAAGAGGGTAGGAGGAGTGTGTTCGGGTCGGAGCAGGGTGGGGGGTTTACTGGGAGTTAGGGAGTAGGGACCGTCAATTTTACAAACGGGGCACTGGAGCGCCCGAGTCATCCCATAACATTGGTTCTAATGTCATGGAAACCTTGCCCCTCTGTATAATATAAGTTGAAACTTACTATTTGTCCCGAGTAATTTTTTTCAAGGGTCATTCGATAATTATATTTTTTATATCTTAAATTTATGTTGTCTTTAAAATTCTAAGTTTAAATGTATTTTAATCTTAAATATTTCATGAAATAATTTCATTAATATTGAAATCCGAATTTGACCGTAACCAATCTGACCGAATCTTAAACCAAATTCGAACCGAAAAAAAATATCCAAAAATGACCCGCCAAATCAATTCTGAACATGGCCTAAATCGGGTCGAATTTCAATATACTCAAACTCGATTGAACTCGTTTCTTGAGAAAACTTTTTTTTTCTCAAGAAAAATGCAAAAGAGGCCAGAGTAGATTTCCAAAATGAAATGGAGAACTCAAAGATCTCTTCTAGGCTCGAAAACAAGACCGCATTCCGGTTACACCAAAATGGAAGGAAAACTTTTCCATTTTTACTTTAGCCCTTTTTTTCATTTCCCTTCTTACCAAACAAGATCTTATTTTTATCACATTCTTCTCTTTTCCAAGGCAAATTCCATGAACCAAACATAGTGTTAGTGCACCCTAAATTAGGCAACAATCTACTATTGCAGTAATCTAATCTGGGCTCATGAGCATCGTCGTGTTTCGTATGAGCAGAATACAACATTGCAGAATCAGATCGCAGCTCAAGCTGAAACGGTTTGAATACAAACCTAAATTATATCTTATTTTGGAAGATATATTCAGCGGAAACACGAATTACCTGCTCTGAAAGCTATAATAATAATGTCTAAATAGTTAAACAACAAGCTTCGGGACAGCAAAAGCCCGGTAAGAAATGGTCTCTATGCATTGTCATCTCTCTGTGATCATAGTTCTGAACCACTAATTCTTTGGTATTTAGAGGGTACCCTTACATTCCATCATCACTAGGGATTTTCTCCATCCGATTGAGGTCCTGCTGACCAAGGGATGGAGTCTGCGAAGAACTCATCTACTATAACAAAGCCAAAACAGATAAAAATAAGACCAGTTAGAAAAAAAATCTGCATAAAAAACCCTTGCTTTTGGTTACTTGATAGAAGCACTTCGCATGGGACACAGTAGGGCAGTAAGGGCCTAGTGCCCAGGGCAGGACCTGGACAAGGTCAAATGGAGATGGAGAGCCTTTCAAAAAAAGGCAGCCAAAGAAGCTTTAGTGCCCAAACATGGGCTTTACAGATAGCCTTCTTTTCTTTCTCACTCTGTGGAAGAGACTTGGAGGATATATAAGGAAGGGAAACATTATGGTGAAGTTCCTCTTGTATACGGAGTAATATCCAACACTACATTTTGAAAACCCATATGCAAGATTGGAAAAATTCTCACCTCTTTCTCTGGAGAATCGAGTAAAACGTCTGAATATCTAAGAATATAACACTACACCTATATGGTGCAATTACTCAAGAGCTCATCTCATGCAAACAATATCTACGATGCCTCACGATTCAAGCAGTATTGAAAGTTCTTGATGCTTGTTATTCAATGTACTTCTTGCATATGACATGAGCAACAAGGTTACAAAATTTGAAGCAATGCACACAACGTATTATAATAATGACCGAGGCGATATGAGACATAAATGCATCCAACAATCTCTTGAAAATAAAAGCTAAACAGATGCATTATGTCTCTTTCTAATCTCTTGCGGATTGCATTCATTAATCAATTTGATGAATCTAGAGTTTTTAAAAAAGGCAGTAGGTCTAAATTGTTTATATGACTAAAAAATGCAAGAGCTGCAGAAGAACAAATGCAATTTAACATGAAATGTCTCCTCTAAATTCGCACTCAGATTTGATCATAGCATGAAAGGTTTTTAAGTACTACATAAATCATTTTTAAAAACCAGATTAGAGTACTGAGTCAAGTATTGCAATTTTTAAAAATGTAGGCATATTTGTTCTTGTAGCAAATATTTGTACAATATTGAACCCAACCCACAGCAGAAGTTACGAGTTCATAAAAGTTAGAACATTTAATAAGGACAGCCCCATTGACATGAAGTTGCATGAGATCAATAATATAACACTATACCTACACAGTTCAATAAGTCAAAAACCTCATCTCATGCCAACAATATCTACAGTGGCTCTAGATTCAAGCAGGATCCAGAAGACTTGAATCTTGTTCATTCAAAAATGCTCCTGCATACAACATGAGACACAAAGTTACAAATCTGAAGCAAACGCGCACAACATATTACCATATATGCATCCAACAATGTTTTTAGGGATATGAGCAACCTCTTACTATGTAATAGTTGAACAGCTGAGGCATATCTCTTTCTTATCTCTTGTGGATTGCAACTATTTATCAATTTGAAGTAGCCAATGTATTTTTTAAGGCAGTGGGTTTATATTGTTTGTACACATAAAAATGTTGAAGCTGCAAGAGACAAATGCAATTAATTTACTATGAAAATGTCTCTAGTTTTTTAGAAGTTGAAAAAATAAATGCTGAGAGCATAGACATAAGAAACCAAAACTATTGATGCTGGATAACAATGATGATGCTGGATATATATGAACACAAATTCATACTCAGTCAATCAAATCCAAGAAATCAAGAGCAAAAAACAACAGTCACCTTGCAGATGGATATTTAAGGTTTCAAGGGATAAAATTGAAATGTTCAACACAATCATATCATCCTCGTCTCCAGCCTTAATTCCATGGTGGACTTTACATATGCAAGTTTTGATTTCACCTGTATCTTTGTTCCTTTGTTCCTGACATCCATAGTTATCCAATACACAAAGCCATAGCCAAAAGTGTAATTGGCCCTCACTATGCCAACCAGTTGCAGTTTCTCCTAATTAATGGGAAGGTAAATAAGCAACCAAACAATTAAGCGAAGGAAAGAGAGGTGGATGAACACAAACAAACAGACCTTTAGGTTTCCTGGAGCAACCTCGATGCACCTCATAGATTGTGTTCCATAACTATCTCGATCATCTTCTTTGGTGAAATTGATAGGTCTAGGCCCTGTCCAAAGGGGAAAGGCCAGAACAAAGCCCGAGATAATAGCATATACTTGTATTCCACAAAGTAGACATCATCCTGATTGTTGCCAATGAAGACGTTGGTGACTCCGCTTCCATTGTTGTTGCTGTCTCTACCGCTTCCATTACTGTTGCTACCGCTGCTGATTCCATCGCTTTTTCCACCTAGCCTCTGCTTCTTCAGCTTGGGTTCTGTGTCATCCCAAGTGGGAGAATGAGAGGTGAACCTAAAATCCTTCTCGTCCGAAACCAATTCCATTTTTTAGAATGTTCAAGAGACCGCAAGAGAAAAGCCTAGAGATTTGGGATTTGAGGATATGATACGGACTGATTTCATTGTCTCACACTGGTTAAATGGGAAACTTAGTGATGGGTTTATATAGCGAAGGTATCTCCCACCTTAACAGCAAGCATTTAGGGTGTGGCTCTCCCTTGTGATGTATCAATGGTATCTGAGTCAACTCGGAGTGGTGGCCTACAGAGTGGTGGCCTGGTGAAACCAGTCATGACCAACGAGGACGTTGGGCCTTATGGGAGGGTCGAATAATACAGAATAATACAGACTGATTTCATTGTCCCACGTTAAATGGGAAACTTGGTGATAGGTTTATATAGTCAAGAGTTCTCCCACCTTAACAGCTAGCTTTTAGGTAGTGGTTCTCCCTCGTGCTTTATCAGGATAGCAGAGTTTTGGGTGGAATTTGTTCTGCATGGTTCAACCGATTAAAATTCAATAGAAAATAAACAAATACTACTCTCTCTCCCTACTTGTATTGAGAAATTGAGATTGGTCAAACTGTAAAAAGCATATATCTATCATTGAGTATGAGAAACATGTCCCCTGACAAAATCATTTAGCACTTGAGATAGAGACATCATTAGAATTAAAGTCGGAATGTTTTAAAATAATACTAATATAATTGTTTATTGTTTTGCTTTGGCCATCTCTATCTTTCCAAGTGGAAAGAGTAGGCTTACCCTTTGTGCTCCCTTTTTTAAAGTGTTCTGAAAATACACAAATACTACTCTATTATTCGTAAAGACATGGAAGCATTGATTTATATTTGAATTATACATTACTTTATATTAGGATATGGGTCCTGGCAAAAAGCCATGTATTGATTGGCAAGGACAAAGCAAATTGGTTAGCCCAATGAGGCTTCAAGTTAAAAGTAAACTTCTAATTATATATAGTACTTTGTGGAAATACAAAGAGAATTTTAAAAAAGCAAACAACTAATTACTTTGCATATACTTTGTTATTCAAGACATATCCGCATCAACCGAAACTGCATACAACATTGCAAAACCAAATCGTGAGCTATATGTTCAAGTGTCAGCCCAAGATTTTGCTAATTCCATGCTCTATCATCATTCAAACCAAACCACTCCATCAATGATCTAAATAAGGTGTTTAGACATGCACAGCATGAGGGTGTGCTTCTTGAGAGGAACTATCCATTTCTGGAAAAGTCCAAGGAGCCAAAACCTAGAAATCACAATCAGGTATTCTGTAAATAATTATAGTATGCACTAGTATTTTACAACTTTATACATTCTTTGTAACTAAGATCTCGTTCTTTTCTTTACTAATGCTTTATCAATTTAATTAATAGAAAAAAACACTATATTTATTAGTAATTTTAAAGAAATGTGGGACGTCATTAAAATAGAGTTAATAGAGATAGTTCGGCAACAACTGGTTATGGAGGAGATGGAAAATGACAGAGGAGCTCAAACAATTGAAGAATGTAATTATTTTTATAACTTTACTTGATATAATATGTAGTTTAAGTTTAGTGGCACTGATTCTGCAGTAGAAAAGCTACTGTTTTGGAGATACTTGTTTTATTTAATTATTTTTTGCTGCTGGTTTCCGCTTTGAAAATTTAAATTGAGTTATAAGATTAAAATGCTTCAATCCAAACTATTTAGTTAGTAAAATTTGTTTGAAGTTGGTCTTGCATTGGGTCATATTGGCTACTGATGCGATTGCCAATCTGTTAACATAATGTTTAGACTTTGTTTCTAGTTGTATTATACAAATTTGAAAGTTTTGACCTTTTGTTATAGGAGGATCTTTTTCACCATATCTTTTTCCCACCACTTGCTTTCTTTTTCTTTAGGGGTCATTGGCTTTCTTCTCCCACATTGTTCTTTTTTTCTCTTTTTATAGAACTAAACTCACTATATATTGTAATAATTTTTGAACTCTATGATGAAATATACAAAGACCTAACGTGTGCTTCTAAGATGAAAGAGAAGAAGGCACTCGAGTATTCGCTAATGCATGTTGTTCAGATTATTAGATTTGATACTGATCATGATTGGCACCAACTATTGATGGATAAAAATACGTGGAGAGACGAATGGGTAAATGTCGGCTACGGAAAGATAATAAGGCAGTCAGACACGAGTAACAACCATTCCTTATTTAGTAGCACATATTGTCTTATTATTTAGCCAGTTCTTTTATGCAATATAATACAAAGTATTGCAAAAATATGTAATACTTTGCATTGTATCTATGCAATACTCTAAACTATATTGTATAAAAAATTGTATAAATAATAGGATAATATGTGCTACTAAACAAGGTATCGTTGTTACTCGTGCTCGAATGTCTTATTATTTTGTCGTAGCCTCCATTTGCCCAATAATCTTCTCATGTATGTTTTATCCATCAATAATCGTTGCCATCAAGCTCAGTATCAAAACCAACAATCAGAACATTATGATCGACGAATACTCCAGTGCCTGATTCTCTTTCATGCCAGAAGCACTCGATAGGCATTTGTGTATTTCACCATATAGTTCAAACAACATCAAAATATATAGAGAATTTAGTTTTATAAAAAGAGAGAAAAAGGAACAAAGTGGAAAAACAAACCAATAGCCTCTAAAAGAAGGAAAACAAGAGAAAAGAAAAAGAAGGTGAAAAAGATCACCCTACAATAACAACTCAAAGACTCGAAATGTGTATCATACAACTACAAACAAAGCCTAAACATTTTATCATCAGATTAGCATTCACACCAATCGCATCAGTAGCCATATATGACCAAGTGCAACACCGACTTTAAATAATTATTACTAACAAAACCAATATTAATTCAAGAAATTTAATCTTATTACTCAATTCAACTTATCAAAGCAGAAATCAACGGAAAAAAATAAATAAAGGAAGCCAACTCCAAACCAGTAGTTTTTTTAGTGCAGAGTCAGTGCCACTAAACTTAATCAACATATCATATCAAGTGAAGTTATAACAATAATTACCTTGTTCAATTCTTTACGCTCCTCTGTCATTTACATCTCCACCACAACCGGTTGTTGCCGAACTACCTTTATTAACTTTATTTTATTGACGTCCAACATTATTTTAAAATCACTATTAAATGTAGCATTTTCTCCTATAAATTAAATTGATAAAATATTAATAAGAAAAAACGAGATCTTAATTATAAAGAACGAATAAAATTGAAAAATGGTGCATACTATAATTATTTACAGAATACCTGATTGCGTTTTCTGGGTTTTACCTCCTCAGATTTCCTTACAAATGGGCAGTCTCTATCAAGAAACACCTCCTCACGTGGTGCATGTCTAAACACCTTACTTAGGTCATTGATGAAATGATTTGAATGATGATAGGGCACAAAATTCGCCAAATCTTGGGCTGGCACCTAAACAGGTAGATCAAGATTTAGTTTTCAATATTGTATATTGTTAGTGATGTGTAGTCATCGGCCCAAAGTGGCCCACTTGTAGACAACTGAGAATTAGGAGACCAGATTAGGGTTTCGGCCGGCCCAAATGGTTTTAAGCCCAGTTTGCTATAACTTGTCCAGCAAGGGTTAAACCCTAATTAGTTGTCTATATATTTGATCTCCTGTACTTGTAATCATCATCACTCAATAATACAAACCCTAGTTGCCCCTGTGGATGTAGGTCAGATTAGACCGAACCACGTTAAATCTCGTGTTCTCTATTGCTTTCTTGCTTTCTATTCGTGTGTGTGTGCTTTTGTTCTTAACA